TGTGTGTGTGTGTGTGTTTGTGTGTGTCTGTATGTGTGCGTGTGTGTGTTTGTGTGTATGTGTGTGTGTGTGTGTTTGTGTGTATATCTGTGTGTGTATATGTGTGTGTTTGTGTGTGTCTGTGTGTGTGCGTGTGTGTGTTTGTGTGTATATCTGTGTGTGTGTTTGTGTGTATATCTGTGTGTGTATATGTGTGTGTTTGTGTGTATTTGTGTGTGTGTGTATGTGTGTGTCTGTGTGTATATGTGTGTGTATGTGTGTGTGCGTGTGTGTGTTTGTGTGTATATCTGTGTGTGTGTCTGTGTGTGTTTGTGTGTATATGTGTGTGCGTGTCTGTGTGTATATGCGTGTCTGTGTGTGTGTGTCTGTGTGTGTTTGTGTGTATGTGTGTGTCTGTGTATATATGTGTGTCTGTGTGTATGTGTGTGTCTGTGCATGTGTATGTGTGTGTCTGTGCATGTGTATGTGTGTGTCTGTGCATGTGTATGTGTGTCTGTGTGTGTCTGTGTGTATGTGTGTGTCTGTGTGTGTTTGTGTGTCTGTGTGTATGTGTGTGTCTGTCTGTGTGTGTCTGTGTGTATGTGTGTGTCTGTGCATGTGCGTGTGTGTATGTCTGTGTGTGTGTGTGTGTGTATGTGTGTGTCTGTGCATGTGCGTGTGTGTATGTGCGTGTGCGTATGATCCGATAGCACTCACTTCAGCATGGTGAACAGAGAGGGGATGTCATAGTCCCTGAGCAGCAGCAGAGTAGGAAGCCACCCGTCCTCCATGGTCTGGCTGCCATCAAACCCTGCAAGAGAGACTCACTGGCCTAAGAAGCCCCACATTCCTACCAAAATGCAAGACCACACATTTTACTGTTAAAAAGCTAAGGACAGACTTTTTCCTGAATTGTATGTTACTTTCGGAATTGTGTCCCACTACTATGACCAAGTTAAGTGGTTGAGAGTAGAATGAATGGCCGTGGCCTTCCGTGGTTCTGACCGCGGACTTACTGACAGGGCAGCTGGGTATAAGTGTGGAGCTGTGTCGAGGGCAGCAGGTAATTCTGGGAATGCAAGAGCACTAATTCCCCCATAACTGTCAAGCACTAACCCTGACACCGTACACCAGAGTCACAACAACCACTTTGGTGCATGAGTTAAAGAAAAGACGAGATTTTATCATAGATGTTTTTACATTTACAGTTGTACTACAATGTACTTCAGTATATTTAATTCCCTGCTCTCATGTTCCCGGACTACATACAAAGAGCATAACTGCATTTATAAATAATTGCACTGGACTGAGCTTGACAATACAGAAAATATCTATTTTTGCAAATTAGTGTGCAGTTTTTGTGACGTTACTGAGGGTAGTGATGCTGTTCTGGTCACTGACCTCAATCTGACTGCAGGAAAATGCTTGTATATTTCACTAAAGCACAAAATTAATTTTCAATGAACTACCTTTTTATATAATATGGTTGAGTTTGGTTGAAAAATAGGGAATGTGCTCTTGATTATTTCATACCGGGAATTGCCAGATGTTACTGAAATGTTACAGAACTGCATATTAGACCAGAGCAACCACCACGTTACCTGGATGAAATCCCACCACCAGGTCTGGCTTGGCTGCTTCCTGCTTCTGCACCAGCTCCTCCCAGAACTGGTGGTACAGGCCCTTGTAGGCACTGATGTAGACTCTCCCCCTGGGCCCAAAAGCTCTCAGCGGGGGCCTCATTATAGGCCCCTCCACCACCTCTGGTCCCACCATGACCACCTCCAGGCCCTGGTGGCCAGGGAACATGCGGCTGAGCTCGTCGAAGTCCGTGAGACGGGCCCCCATGGTCTCGTTGTGAGAGGCCCCCACCAGGTGGATGGTGAGGGGCCGGGAGTATGGGTCCAGGCCAAAGAAGCGCAGCCCCAGGCCCAGAGTGAGCGGTTTGGACAGGAACTCGCTGGTCACCCGCCATAGTGACTCCCGCAGCTCGCCGTCTTCTGGACGGGTCCTGCTGACATTAGTCCATAGTTCTTGCATGTGAGGCCCAGACAAGATGGCCTCCAGACGGGAATTGAGGTCGCCCTGCATGGAGAGCCAGTCCTCCCAGTTCTTCACCTCCGCGGCAGGCCGTGACCACTGTTCCGTGGAGAATGGAAGGTCTCCTGTTAGACGGATGAGAAAGACAAAGATGAACAATTTAAAAAGTGACTCACTGAGTTTAGCTACAGCCTCCCAATGTCTTTTACGAGACAGATTTAAGATTTACCCTGAAGACAATTTATGTTGTATCTAATTGCCCAACCTACACCACGACTACAATGTATATATTTGCTTGCTTGCGGTCCAGAGCACATAGTGTTCTATTCATTTACATTGTAATCGCAGCATCAGATAAGTTAATCTGTCACGTCATTCCCTTTCTCACAGCTCTAATTTTGAACTACTTTATGACACAACTGAGTGTTAATTTAAAGGTGAACAAGTCTGAAGATGATTTTTTTTTTGTGAACAAAGGAGGGAAAAAAGGTGTGAAGTATTCAGGATGTATAAAACCTCCACTGTACAGGCTGGGGACAGTCTACGGCCACACCAGCTTGGAGCTGCACTGAGGAGTTACTGCCAAAGTCAATAATGGACTTTTGTTTTAAACTGTGCAGACAAAGTAGGAGTGAGAGAGGATATAACGGGACAGTGTTTTGGGGGCTTCTTGAATTTCCTGTCACCTCATGTCATCGAAGTCAGTTCTCTCCACTGACCAGAAACCCAGCAGCAGGGCTGACTGGCAGCAGATGGATAAACACGTGCTTCCCCCGCTAATGACAGCACTGCACTACTGTCTGCACTTATATGCCGTCTACGGTCCGGGGAAACTGGGCCGAGCGTGAAGCTGAAATAGGCGTTCCACTGCGAATGCAGCAGGACACCCACCCGTCACCCCCGAAGCGTCACTGCACCTTTAAAAACCAGCCACTCCACCAGCCGGTCGATGGCCGCCAGCCGGAGCTGTTTGCAGGAGGCCTTGTGCTTTGGCCAGTCCTCCTTCTGGCACTCCTTACTGCAGTAATACACATTCAGGCACCTGGAAGAGGAAGGCAGCGGAATCTACTACCGATGGTCACTCTAAGAGTTTGACAGTTTGATGTTACTGTAAGGGGTTAGCTGTGGGAATTCAAATCCAGAATGAAAATCAAGGGAAGGGATACTTCATGAATAGCAACTCTCTCTATAAGCTTCCTGCATTTATATCCACCCGTCTTTGAACCGTTTATCCTGGTCAGGGTCATAGGCCAGCATTTATATGTCACTCTAGATTAAAAATGTAAAAACCCCTGTGAGACTGAGGATCTAGAGTGATCACAGAATATCCTGGAATATTTAATGTCTCTTTCAAAAAAGACTGAAGAGTGAAATAAAGGTGAACCATCAGTTGTGAGCTGGCATCTTGAGGTAACAGTGCCACCTACTGGACTTCCAGAGTGATAGCAGATGCTATCGTCCTCTCCCTCCATTTAACAATTCGCCTCCTTCCTATAGGCTTTTTCCATCGACAAAGGCAGCTAGTCTGCTCTCTTCTTGGCATCGTCAGGTTTGCACTATCGCCACATCTAAAAGGCCCCATTAACCTGCACTCTGCCTCACTGTCTTTTAGTCTTTTCTGAATGTCACTCCATGCTGGAACTTCAGGTTTTACATTGGAGACATTTTTGCAGCTCATCATCTTCAGCTTTCCCCATATGGCTCCAAACTAAACGCATCTCCTCCAGCAACAAGTAACAGCTGCCTCAGTATTTAAAGCTTTTAATGACATATTGCAAGATCAAATCCGCTAATTTCCTTCATGGTACCTTGTGCAGGTTGCATGCTGTACTGGCCTCCATTCAAAGCTGTTTCCTTCAGTATTGTCACAGTGTAAATAAACACTAGCCAATGGGCTTTCTGGAAACTGTATCCCCCTGCTGTGTGTAGCCATGCAGCTAATGGAGCCACAGAGCTGCAATCGGCCCACTAGGGTCATACAGGCCGCCCTTCGTTTGGTAATTCAAGCTGCCACCCCAAAGCATTATGGTCAAGTGAAAAAGAGCCCTGCTAAATACTGCTGGCCCGCATGGCCTCAGAAGTCAGCTCTAATGGGAGATGCTAGAATGGTACAGAGCAGTGTTTCCCAATCCGGTCCTGGGGGACTCACAGCCGGTCCATGTTTTTGCTCAGACCGACCTGCGGGTCCCCGAGGACCGGACTGGGAAACACTGGTACAGAGGGACAGGGAATGAAACAGAGACTCATATAAGGAACTTGGCCTAGATTTGTAAATTGACCTGCAACAAAAGTAATCATTCCAGTAGTCATAAACTAGGTACTCAAAATACTTAGGCACTGGATTTTTCTTTAAATCATGTGTTATTTTAAAAGCGTAAAGACTTACAGTTATGGTGCACTATTACCTAAAAACATTTTAGTTTGCGATATGACAAACAAACAAGATTGCCTTGGCAGTTAGGGAGTGAATCAGGGAGCGCCACCTAGTGGGTGTTCTACCCGGACAACAGCAGGTGTCTCACTCATATTTCACTCACTATGTATTGATGCCCATCAAAACTACAACCCACTCAGCGCCACCCGTATACCCCTCCCCCCCCCACCCCCGCACTCACTTAACGCAGCGCTTGAGAGACTTGGCATCTGACAGATCGCTGGGCAACTTCCTGCAGCATGCACAGAATTTAAATGTTTCCTCCATCTTCTGGAACATCTCCTTGTATGAATGGAAGACGAGGCCTTTCCCCTTGGACTGCCCCTGCCCAGCAGTTCTTTGGAGGGGGAGGAAGAGATGTTGGTGTGAATTTAGAGTTCGCCACACACGCATCGCTGCTGGCTGTTTGGAGAGCAGGCACCCCTAAATGAAGACAGTAAATTTTGGGGGCAACGAAAGTGACTGGGATTTTTAGTAATTAGGTTTATTTATTGCATGTCTATGCCCAGGTCACACTGACAATGAGGCACCAGGGCGCCATAAACGGGATCAGATGGGAGCTGAATGCACCTCCCATGTAAGGAAATGTGCGCGGGACCAGCTGCAGCAAACCAAGGGCACCGTTACTATTTTTAGTTTATGGAGTTTGTCTTTGTCACAAGAAACATAACACTGTATTCACTATGTTAAGGTTTCAAAATAAAACCCTATGTCATCAGCCTTTTGTTAAAATTCGGGAAATATGAGTGAACACACATTTAAGTAGCATGTCTTTAAAAATCGTTGAAAACACGACCAGTATTACTTATTATGAACCATTGCTCATTAAAGCGAATGAGTTTTCCACTTAAAACATAATGCTTACACTCCCAAGCAGCAAAAATAATAAAAATAAATCTTCAAAAGCGGTCCAAAATTGTCCAAAACACCGTCAACTGGTCCGTTAAAACAATTTTAAAAAGGCCATACACAAGCAAACAAAAGCAAATAAATATTATGCGAATTTGTCTGTGCGACATGACTAATGCATACTTTTTAGGTGAGAGTCACCTGCATTAGGGTGCAGAAAGCCCTACCTTTCCGACTCGGTCATTATGGGCGCCGAGACTGACGAGCGTCGCTCCGCAGAAAGTGGGTCGGGGGTGATGATTGACAGACCTGCTTATAGCCCTGAAAGAGCCTCGGAGGCGGCGGCCGCTATTTATACAGCCTCAGCTCCCTGACACCGGTCAAGGGCGCTCCTACGGAAGGTTCTGGATAAAGACAGAAAAGATTCAGGTTTATTCCGGCAAAATGAGATTATGAAACCGTAATAGTGCATTGCTTATTTTGGTCTCTAAAAAAACAATTATATAGTAAAACGAATTCATTTTATTTGGTATTGTAACCATTGGTGTTCTATAGCGTTTTGTTGAACTCGGGATGTTACCAGTATACATAAAACTTGTTCGATGGCACGAAATGTTTGTTTTACGTATGTATAAGAGGAAACCGCAACTATGACAACCATTAATACAAAACAAGTGCTGCGATCGTCATTGACAGGGACTAAATCACACTTACCGTCGTGTAAATCTCATCTTGAAGGCTGGTTAAGAAAAAATCCTCATGCGGACACACACACACATAAACGATTTAGAGACATCGTTTATCAACTGTATGTTTTTGGACCGTGGAAGGAAACTTAAAAAACACACGAGAACATGCACATTTTGTTACTGATTGTTTTTAATAATAAAAAAATGTATTTATAAATGCATTAGGCCTAATATAAATAATTACATAATATAATTTATTTTGTATTATTTGAAATTAATAAACAAATGTTTTTTTCCAAAATTCGTTCCTGACAAAAACTTTCTTGCTCGATTATTCTCTAACAGCAAGACGGAGAGAGAATCCCACTAGTAATAAAGTTGAAGATAAGAAAATATATGTTCTCTCTACAATGGGTGCAAATTTTAATCAGCCATGAAACTAATCAAGACCAGTTTCAGTCCAATCGCGGCATTTAAAACCATACTTTTTACACTAAATATTAACTAAAATGCAGTTGCGGATTCGTTCCACCAGAGGGAGGAGTCTATCTGGGTTTCCGGAATTTAATAGTTAGGAATGAAGTAGCAGCTTTGTAGGGAGAAAGGAAGCACAACAAAAATATGTCGTTTGAAAATATATTTTCTAGAAGTACACAACCACCAAACCACCACAATAATTTATTTAGCAATTACATCATCAACGTATATGTATTCATTACATTAAAATATATTATCAACACACAGTAGCTGTAATGTTACCAAATGTATTAAAATATTCTGTTCACACAGGAACGAAAATTTGTTTCAAACTATGAAAAATAAAAATTGATGTATGTGAACAATTCAACTGAGAATGGCTTTTATTCCTTGAGATTTGCTAAAGGAGAATGTTACATTAAGCAATGATTAATTGCATTTAGTTAAATGTTAATGGGATCTTTCTTGACAGTGGCCTGCAAGTAGGAATGTGACATTCCATCCAAATATCCGTTCAGCAGAATAGAAACAGACCAATACCAGGGGTTTGTTCTTTTAACAGGTTTCCATTCACCCAGGGCAGGCGTTACATCAGCTGCAGCTTCACCCTCAGGTCTGGTCCTCCTCCAGCTCCTCGTCGTCCTGCTCCAGCAGGCCCTGGAAGTAGAGGTAGTGTGCGTTGCAGAAGACAGGAGTCTTGTTGGGACAGGCCTGGACCTGCTCTGGCTTCAGGGAGGCGAAGGGGTTGGCTCCGGTTCCTCTGATGTGCATCTCCAGCTCCGTTAGGATCTGGAGAGAGTACTTCAGCTCCTCTTCACTGCCAATGGAGACACACACCAACCATCAACCATAAAAAATAATCAGCTTTACCCCCTAGCCTTACTAGCTAATTTTTGGTTAAACCCTGTTGGTTTTGTAAAGGTGTTTCTATCATTTGAAAGCTACAGCAGTCATGAGGTGGTCAGAAGGTGCTCACTTGAACATGGTGAAGAGCGAGGGGAGGTTGTAGTCCCTGAGGAGCAGCAGGGTGGGGAGCCATCCCTCTCCCAGACCTTGGGTGGCATGAAACCCTGCAGCACAAGGGGGCGACAGTGAGGCCACTCTCTTAAGTGAGTAGCAGTAACACATGGCAGTCGCTAACCATTCATTCCCTGAGAATAAGGGCGAAACTCTTTAGGTTGAATATTGGGGGGTGGTGGGGAAGGGGGTTGTATTGGATTTCATTATTGGGGGCGTTACAACCCCCCCTATAATTTACACCCATGCCTAAGAAGAACATCAAATGGTATTAAAGCTACATTGTTGCAACTCTCAGGGGCACGGGACAGCGACAGGGACCGCGGTGGGCAAGGGAATGGGAATCTATCCACAAGGGCCACAATCATTTGCTGGTTGTCTATGGAACATGTACAGTGGGCACTAAGCAATGATATGACAGGGGCAACACACTGAATGACTGAAGCAACTCTGCCAACCAAGCCTGTGCTCTCTCTATCACAGCATGCTAACTATACTTGCAGTGCCATCTGGTAGCTTCCTAACATGCTAAATCCATAACCTCTTTACATCCATCCAGAGATCCAACACAGCACTGGTAGAACATGCACACAAGCAGGATTCGAACCCCAGACCCTGGTGGCGGGAGGCAACAGGGTTGCTCACTGCAGTACCATGTAATCTTTTTCAATAAAGTGAAATTTATACCCCAATAACAAACAACTCATATTAGATATCATATTTATGGATCCTGTTAAATGTCTAAATACAAAATGTAACTGGTGTCCAGCTTATCGCTTGCAAACACACTCCCTTCTTTTCCTGTTATGCAAAATTAAACACCTTCCTGAGATCCATCAGTTCATTTTTGTCCTCCGTAGAGGACTTTATGTTTTTGTTCATATCTCTCATATATACATGCCACCCTATTAAGTGCTACTGTCCCTTAATGTGGACAGTTCAGGCTTTAAGGTGTCATGACATGTGTAGAGGTCTGCTTCTTATCATCAAAGCACTTGATTTATTTTTTTAAAATCACAATGGGAAAACTTTTGAATCGCTGAAAGGTAAGCATTTCCTGCTGCAATATTCTTTTGTATGAATATTGCATGTAAATAAATACAAAAGCAGGCTTTTTGTCTTCAACCTAGGAATTATTATATGCTTGACAAGAATATAGTGAGAAGGTGATTTTAAAATACAATAAATGCATTTTGAAAATGCACATGGCTATCATTTTCTCATTGTAATAATGATTTCATTACAGAAGGTTAAGGACAAGATGTCGAAGATGAATGGATGTAAAGAAAAGAAAATCATTAATGTCATGGTGATGATGCTGAAGATCAAGATGAAAATTAGGATGGAAAGAATTTGATGCGCAATAATCAAGAAAGAAGCTTATGAAATGATACGAAATAAGATGTTGTAGAATCCGTGAGAAATACAACGGATTATTGAAAAATGTAGCAGAATTTCACACTTGAAATGAAAATGACAAAATGATGAAAGTATTGTTAATATTTGTACTGAATGTGAAATGATTCTTGGTATGACCAGAAAATTTCAAATTTCACGTGATTTCCATAATATCTACAGCACCATAAAATACGAGAAAATTCATGAGAGTTCTTTTACAGAGACAGTTCCAGCATCTTCTGGCACCTTCTGTCCTGGGCTCCTGGCCACGCTTTCCCTCGAGTCCACCTGTCCTCGTCACTTTCTGGGGTGGTAAAAGCTGCCAGATTAGCTGGAGGAGCCAGACCTCCAGCAACTGTCGCTACCTCCTAGATCAGAAGCCTTCAGAAGGCTTAACAATAATAATTAAAAGTTACTTTGAAGTTAGCTTCTCTAACACTTCCCTATTGCGTCATTCCGGCAGCAGCGAGGACAGAGAGGGTAGTGTGGCTATCTTACAAAAATGCTAATGCTGACAAAGCTATAACAACAGTCAGTGACCTGATAATAAACGATAGATGCGAAAAAAATCTGCTTCTAACACAAAGTCAAATGCAATGTCAAAGGCAGCGTGCTTAATGGTCAAGTGACGCATCATGGATTCCTTATCTGGAGTAAAGCCGCAGGCCGTGGGGATGCGTGGGTCGAGCTGCAAAGATTAAACACTAATCACAATATGAAATACCATTATGATCCGTTAGCATGTTTGGGTGGGGCTCTGACAGAGGACTTTGACTGGCCATTAAAGTGTTAAGTGCGGCTTTTCCATCTGGTCTCCCAAATACTATGGGATGTACAGTCAGTAAAGCCAAATGATCTCACTCCGGTAATCTGCAACTCTGAGCTCCAGGCTTCTCATGTGACTTAGAGCAAGTGAGGCATTACCTGTATATTTAGCTCTACTGGAGCAGAAAGAGATTTTTACGGGAACTGACAACCTTCAGGAAAATGTAATAAAATAAGTATATAAATGCGACAGGGACTGTAGAGAGAGACCCCCTGACAGGCCTGTTGATAAAACCGGGCCATTTAAAGCACCGTTCCGAGGCAGAGGTCAAAGGGACAGCCAGTGAGATGACAGGCTGCTCCAGCGAGGTCCCAGTATCTGCACCCTCAGGGCTTGAGGGGTCGCGACCCGCCGGCGTCTGCTGGAGCTGAGGGCAGGAGCGGGATGGCGAGTGATGGGGAGGGTTTGAAGCTTAGAGAATGACTCCGTCAAGCGTCCCAGGTGAAAAGGGGGGCGGGGCATTGTAGAAGAGAATCTGTGACAGCAGTACCCATAGCAGGAAGAATGGGGGGGGGTGACTGAGGCACCCAGCTCATAACACCATCAGACTGAAGCTGCATCAGCGCTTTTCAGATCCTTAACAGCTTCCGTTGTTGATTAGCACCCCATGCGGCAGATGGGGGGTGGGGGGTGGGGGGGGGGTACAACAGACCAACACCATGGCAGAGAGGGATCAGCACCATGTGGCTACAGCTGCCGGCATGAATCAAGTGGACCGCTAATAAAAATCTGGCAGGGACTCACATTCCTACAGCTGAGGGCCAGAGACCCAGAGGGGTCATGCAGAATGCCAGGGGGAGCACAGGGGGGAGGAGAAGAGGAGAGGAGAGGAGAGGAGAGGAGAGGAGGAGGCACCTGCACTGCCACTATGCTCTTATCTATGGAATGTCAGCCCTTGACTTCTCAGCTTTGGCAGCTGGATTCCCAAGATTTAACCACATTCTCAGTCTTGGATCTGACTCTCCCAGACGTCCAGCTCTGTAATTCCTCTCACACGCTATGTGTGTCAGCCAATACCCTCACTGGGATATAAATCCACGGGTTAGCAGTTGCCACAATTAAATTTGTATTGCTACCGCAAGGCATGTCATTTAATTCACCATATAATGGTCATAAGGGACTGGAGTACGGAACAGATTGGCTGTGAATATCCACTTTGGTTTGAAGAATAATGTATAGGTTGTTGATGCAGTAAATACAGGCCCTAGATGAAAATCTGGACAAAATCCTAAAAACTGACAAAACTGTGTGATCTGATTTATTTCATACCGGGAATTGCCAGATGTTACTGAAATGTTACGGAACTGCATATTAGAGCAGAGCAACCACCACGTTACCTGGATGAAATCCCACCACCAGGTCCGGCTTGGCTGCTTCCTGCTTCTGCACCAGCTCCTCCCAGAACTGGTGGTACAGGCCCTTGTAGGCACTGATGTAGACTCTCCCCCTGGGCCCAAAAGCTCTCAGCGGGGGCCTCATTATAGGCCCCTCCACCACCTCTGGTCCCACCATGACCACCTCCAGGCCCTGGTGGCCAGGGAACATGCGGCTGAGCTCGTCGAAGTCCGTGAGACGGGCCCCCATGGTCTCGTTGTGAGAGGCCCCCACCAGGTGGATGGTGAGGGGCCGGGAGTATGGGTCCAGGCCAAAGAAGCGCAGCCCCAGGCCCAGAGTGAGCGGTTTGGACAGGAACTCGCTGGTCACCCGCCATAGTGACTCCCGCAGCTCGCCGTCTTCTGGACGGGTCCTGCTGACATTAGTCCATAGTTCTTGCATGTGAGGCCCAGAGAAGATGGCCTCCAGACTGGGATTGAGGTCGCCCTGCATGGAGAGCCAGTCCTCCCAGTTCTTCACCTCCGCGGCAGGCCGTGACCACTGCTCCGTGGAGAATGGAAGGTCTCCTGTTACATACACAGAAAGGGAAAAATTTTACTGATACTTTGTTACTTCGTCTGCTGGCTTTGCAAACCCCAGAGACTCCAAGCCTGGCTGCTGGGCACCTGTGTTGTCCGGCCTTTTCACACTCCTGATCTCCTGACACCATGGGTCATTTGGTTTCCGTCAGGATTTACGCTTGATGCCAGAGCATCTAGTTAAATAACCTCATCCACACTGTGAAATTGCTTCTATAATTAGACATTTGATGATGTATATATTGCTGATGTCACATTCAAAGTCACTGGAAGGTGTCAGAGACAATGATAATCATTTAACCGTATTACAGTGCCCCGCCGGGGGAGTCAGTGAGCGCTCAGGACGTCCTTCTCTGGCTGCAGGGAGTCACAGGGCCTCAGACAAAGCCTCACCATCATCAGCTGCAATTTATGTGATTGTTACAGCCACATGAGCCCAAGTTTAGTATTATATTAACACAAATTCCTGCCCATAAAGAAGGAAAATGTATAAATTTCTGGTATCTCCAGGTTCAGCTGCCAAAGTTGATATTCATTTTTCCATTCATCCATCCATCCATCCATCCGGCTTATAGGTCTCTCTCTCCTTACCCATGAACAGCAGCCACTCCACCAGCCGGTCAATGGCCACCAACCGGAGCAGTTTGCAGACCTTCTTGTGCTTTGGCCAGTCCTCCTTCTGGCACTCCTTACTGCAGTAATACACATTCAGGCACCTGGAAGAGAAAACATTCCCAGGTAACGTCCATCCTGCACCTCCCCCATATGCAGAATGACACCACCCCTCATCTGGAGGATAATGCATATCCTGTATGGAGTGTCATACCTCCCCTGTATGGATGATAACATCAATTCTGGAAGGAGGAGAGCACCCTCCCTTTGGAGAATAACATCTATCCTGTATGGAGGAGAACTCCTCTCTCCTTTGCAGGATAATGCCTATCTTGTATGAAGGAGAACACCACTCGTGTACCTCTATGGAGAATAAAATTGATCCTGTACGGAGGAGAGCACCTCCCCTGTATGAATGACACCTATCTGGCATGGATGAGAGCACCAAACCCCCTTTGGAGGACAATGCCTATCCTGCATGGAGGAGAGCACCTCTACCCTTTGGAGGGTAACATCTATCCTGCATGGAGGAGAGCACCTCCCCCACATGGAAGATGACCGATATCTTGTGCTGTAAACCCCTGCCTGGAATTGTCTACGGACCGTCTACAGTACAGCTATGATCCATCCCAGCCAGCCATGACGTATGACCTTGCTGGTGGCTGAAGTCTTTCATGCAGTGGAAGGGCTAGATGCCCTTGTCATTTATATGACCTCCCAGAGTTAAAGCACCAGGTAAAATAACCATTTTATTGACTAATTTACTTTAAATATCCACCGTAGAGGGTGTTTCAGTAACCTTCCCTGCTGCAGTGTGTAGCCGCAGGACTGATGGAGACAGTGGGCTGGTGTGTACCCACAGGGGCTGTAAAGTCTGCCCTTCCTTTGGCATTTCTGGCTGCTCGGAGATCATCTGAGCCGTGGTGCATGACCTCATCAGGAGTGCATGGGAGGCACTCAGGGCTGGGAGTTCTTCCCACAGGAGAGCACAGACTGGGGAGAAACACCAGACTCTCACCCGTGCAGCCGGCCTCCTAAGTGCCGTTTGCGAAATCCAGCACTTTTACTTAAAAAAAAAAAACAAAAAAAAAAACCAAGAAGCCAGTGAAATTCGCAAATGCATTTTCTCTGTAAGGCACCAAAAACACCCTAAAGCAGCCAAGAGTGAGCGGCAGATTAGCCGTATGTGATCAAATTTGGTTGGTCAAAGTTAGCTTTCCGCTCCTACTTTGACAATGTGACCCCCACCCGTAGCCCTTAAGCTGCTCAGGTGTGAGATGTCACCAGGCTGTCCCATCTGTCACTGCTTGGGTCCCTCGCTGACAGAATGCAGCTGTGATGTCTCGAGTGCATGTGGGGGTGGGAGAGACCACCAGCGTGGGAGAGAGGAGAGACAGGCAGAGGAGGCCAGGGAGGAGGCCAGGGAGGAGGCCAGGGAGAGGCTGGTCACGCTGCCCACCAGCATTCAGACACAGACCTACCACTGGCTCTTAGTGTCTGTACTGACTGTACGGAACTGATTTGCAGTGTCGCTGCATATATTTTATTTCTTTACTATTTTTCTTGATTTATGTTCTATGTTGCTGTGAATGTATTAGGGCTAGGCGATATGGACCAAAAATCATATCTCAATATTTTTTAGTCTCAATATCTTTCCCCATAAAGTAATAACAAAAAGACGGTCCCAAGTCCGAGCCAAATGTCCGCAACGTCACACCGGCATTTTTATTAACAGACAGCTGTATAAAAAATGGCTCAGAAATAAACTCCTGGCATGTATTATCTTACCAGCCAGCTCCTCTTCGCTAGCTTGCCTCGTGTCTGTGCCTATCTCCATGCTGTCACTGCATGCAGCACTGTGAGCGAGGGGGGAGGGGCGGCTTGTGTTTGGAGGGAGAGCAGAAACAGGCGACCTGGTGGCTCTATGAGTAAAATTTTAAAGCAGCATAAACTAACTCGACATAAACAATACGGTCTCATTCTAAAAATACACTGATATATCTAAGACTTTATACATTGCCCAGCCCTAGAATGTATGCAGCAATACCACCAAGACCAATCTGTAGTATATACAGACCTCAGGTTACGAATGACATAAGTCGCAAAAAGAATAATACAGTACGTAATAATAACAATAATAATAGAGTAATAATAAAAGTGTCTACATACGGTACTGTACGTCGAACTGACAAACTGCAGAAGCCGCGTAGCGTTTTCACAAGAGCCACAAAGTAGTGTGCGTGTGTGTGTTCCATTGTATTTTTAATAAACAGCCTTTATGGCAAGTCTGTTCTTAAGTACGAGTTGTCGATAAGTCGGACGTACTTAACCCGGAGACTGCCAGGCTGCACCAGGCCATGAAACACAACAGCAACAGCCAGTGAAGGGCCTTAAGCAGCTGGGGATTTCACAGACCTGAAGGCTCTCTCCAGAGAGAAGGGACCCTCCCCAGCCTCTATGCTGAACACAGACCGCGTATCTGTAGCCTACCATCCCTGTAATATAAACGCACACACTTGAAAGGATTTCGTCTCTCTCTCAGTGGCATACATGACATTTAAGTGGCACTGGAACAGCCAGTAAAAGCTGAAATGATCAGAAGGCCCTGAAGCAGAAAGCAGTGCGTGTGGCGTCTGTGCCAGTGTGTGTGTTTATAACTGCGGAGCGAAGCTTCACTTACAGCGTTAGCCTCACCCAGGCCGTTCATTCGACATGATAAAAAGCAGATAGCCACAATAAACCTACATTACCCCTAATGTGTGATGTAACGTAAACAAAACGAAATGACATAAGGTCGACCAATTCCACCCATGATGAGAGACACTTAGCAGTCTATCATTGAGAAGGGGCTAAAAAGCATTCTGCAGGCACAAGAGTTATCACAACGTGACACAAGAGGGGTGGCCGGGGCTGCCCCACCCCTCAGGAAGTGCATCTCTGCCTGGGCTCATGTCTGTCAACACGTGGCTGTTTTTCACCGAGCTGCAGGAATGATGAAATGTTTGTTTGGGTGTGCGGGAACATGGCAAACAAATGGAAGATGCATGGATTAAAGTATTATAAGCCAGACAATAACACTAAGCCATTGTTTTCAGAAAGCCTGGAAGGACCTATCAACACAGTAATTTATATTTCTGGGCGAATCAAGCCAGCCATTAAATTTTCCATCGTGCAAGTCCTTGAGGTTAGAAAGTGACAGTTGCATTTTAAAGGCTCTAGGAGTAACAGGAGAGTCTGCTTTAGATTGACTATTATTTTTCATGTTTTATCTTCTGCAGAGTCAACTTCTTTGTAAGTCTCATGCTAAAGGTGACACATAAAGGTGTCCAACATATGGTGCTACCAAACAAAACAACATACCTAAAACACACAAGACAGCTGCCACAATATCACTGTTTCATGTACGCCTCCCTGCACTTACTTCCCACAGCGTTTGAGAGCTTGGCCATCTGACAGGTGACTTGGAAGCCTGCTGCATCCTGTGCAGAATTTGAAGGTCTCCTCCATGTTCTGGAACATCTCTTTGTAGGAGTGGAAGGTGAGACTCTTCTTCTTCCCTTCCAGAGCAGCCCTAGTGAGAATGTTGGCAAAAATGCTGTAGAGAAGCTCATGGTGCTGAGAGACACGTGTACACATGGACGGAGCACAAACAGAAATCACTGAAGTTTAAAGAGCTGGATTTAATCATGGGGTAGATCCTTGACTTTAAAACATGGCCTACTGGTGCTTTAGTAGCATAAACGTGAAGGTCAGAGACTAGTTGCACCTGTACTCAGAGTAGTCCTTCATCTTCAGCTTGTTGAGGATGACCTTGGACAGACCGGGGACATTAGAGTCCAGTGAGTAGAAACCTAGGCGGTCCATGTAAACTCCATCTGGTCCAGGGGTGAAGGATTCTGCTGGTGTTGGTGCTGAAGCAGCCATCCTGGGTAGCTGGAGTTATACATCACAGGTGACCTGCCTGCCACCCTGAAATCATGTTTTAAGCCCCTGCAGTTTGATTTTACAGCCAACCCAACAGTATAACCTCATGCTTAATGGGTCTTTCTGGCCAGTCTTGGGACCGCTCCCTTATTTCAGCACATGGGCCTCAAACCCTCTTTCTGCTGACAGCAAGCAGCTTCCACACCACGTGAAAGCCCAAGCAGAGGCTCAGCCTGTGTACCGCCAGCAGGCTTTAAGATGGGCCTTTGACATTTCCAGATGGACGAGGAAAAAAGCACCGGGTTAAGAAGCTCAGTTGTTGAAGCCTGCTAGCTGAGTGTGATTGAGTGCCGTTGGGGGAAATGTGATCAGGCCACCCGCTTTGTCCCCATGTAGGGCAGCGTATGGGCGGGCAGGGCTGCTCTGGAGGGGGCGCTGCTGCCCCCCCCCCCGGGGCACGGTGCAGAAGGAAAGCCCTCCACGATGTCTCGGCTAGACAGGGCGCACTGATGAAGGGGAAGGAAACCTAACAAATCTGCCCAGGAAATGCAACCCAGCCCAAACATCTTTCGCTGACTGATTAAGGCGGTCTAGGCAGGCACATTTGGGGACAGCGTCAAAAAGTCACCTTATAACCCCTTAAAGGATTTGTTTTCAAATGCAATAGTGGAAACAGGAAATGCATTTGCTATATACCTGTAAACTTCTCCTATAAACACATACACTGTTCCAAATAATTCCAAAAACTGTATTTTTTCCCTATTTAAAGAGGGAATACATTGATACATTTTAACAGCATGTAATTTACCAATAACTTTTTAACTGATATATTGTTTGAATTTAGTCAAATGTAGCAATGCTTACATATTACGAAACAGCATTCTACCTCCCGGAATTTCCCACTGGGATCAATAAAGTTTATTTCATCTTAAAAACTGATATTATGCATGTTTGACTCTTCTGCTCTTTTCGTTTTAACTGGCTTCTTGTTGCCAAGAATAGCTGGGAGGTCAGTAGATTCCCTGTTTGATTTAGCTACAAACTTGCATGTTAACACAAATGTAGATTTTGCTGAGCACGGAGGACAAATTTTCCTTACAATATAAATACAGAACATTCTGTATGTGCATTTACAAGCTAAAGGCTACGTTTACGTCATTCAGTTCCTGGGGTGACAGCTCAGTGCAGTGACAGCAGTTAATATACTGCTAAACATCAGAAAACCAATTTCACCCTCTGCCATCTTCTACAGAGTAGCACTGATTGTACAATCCTACCTCTTTTGACAGGAACGTTCCAGATGAAAAAGCTCAGCTCTCAGTGTTCCTTGCTCTCTTTGCGGCAGGATGGATGGGAGAGGTGATTGACAGCTAACCCACATCGGGTTTGTAGTACAGAGTGCAAGAAGATCGGCTTTCAAGGACCTTTTCTACAGTCATTTACATAAACACCTCCCTTCTTGCTGATTTCTAGCCACGTGGGGTGGGGCACAATTATTTTGGGGTGAAGCAATACCGGTTTGGATCGTAACTCTTCCCTGTTAGCCATGAGTGCTGCCCCCTCCCATCTCAAATGCAGGGGGCAGTAAAACAAACTCCCCTTGTATGGCAGGTTGAATCACCACCTAGTGGGCAATACGTGTAATTACCAAAATATCAACACATCTATTCCAAGGTTTAGATAATTCACACTTTGAACAGTTAAGAAACAAAGTACAAAGAGTGCCAGGAAAGGAGAGAAAAAAAACCCATAAAATTCAGATTTAATAAAAAACAAAAGTTTATTTGGTCCTTTAGAACCTGAGTTTCAAACTAATCATACATACATATGTAATGCATTTACATTTTTTCTAAAACTGATAAAACATGTCACATTCTTGCCCAACAGTGTTGTCTCCATATTCCATCTGCTGCAACATACGTTTGTTTTCCTATGCAGGATAAATCTATTCACAGCTTGGCAAAGACTAAAGTGTTGGTGTCTGTCCCATCGTATAAAAAGAGAGTCGGAGGCTGGCAGCTGAGGCCGGGGATAGAGGACGCGGTCAGCATCCCACTGAACAGAGCGCCCCCTCCTGGACGGGTCCTAGTACTACTCCGAGATCAGGCTCGCGACCCCAAGAACAGAGATACGCGCCAAAATGGCAAGAGGACGACAGACGACGTGACAATGCAAAAGCGCTCCGCAGAGTCACTGCATGCGGCGCAGCTCGTATCGAGAGACAGGGATTCCCCAGCATATGGGAAACCCCACAATTACCCCACAGAAAGAATTTATCACTTTAATAATATGCTAAATGAAAAAGGAACCTATTACCCTTCAGTGCCCATTCCAATAACAAAGAACATGTGCCTGTATGAGTCTGGGTTAAGCCCTAAAAGCTCAGAGATACTCAGGGTCCTGTGAGATAACAGACATCAAGGGTATCCGGCAGCAGGCTTCTGTCTTATCTGGACAGTACCGATAACGCAAAAACAAAAGGAGGGGAACCGCAGGACAGGACGGCGACCTCCTCACCGCCACCAAGCGCAAACACGCTGCCTAACTGCAAGGTGATTCATTCAAGTTTACGCGCAGCCGCTAATGTATAATTAGCTAACGAACATAAAATCTGTGTCAAGGTTGAGGCCAGCCGGAGAGACGTACTAGGAAGGGATTTTCAGACAGAACCCATGCATCCACAGCCTGCCGCTTCCCACCAAGGTTCCGAGTTCTCGCCGGAATTATCCCCGGTGCCCCCTGGATTGATTAATTGATCACAGAGCACAAGGTCCCCCCGCAGTCTTCCTGTGAATGCTGATGCTTACACTCTGCGCCCGGCAGCATTTAGATCATTTTGGAATGAGCTCTGCTATGTGCTCTGACCCAACGTGTTTTGGCATCGAGCAAAATCAGACGCTGACGGCCGGGACTGCAGGCGCCCTTTACCAGCATGCCGTTTGTCTGGCTCGGTTCAGGCCGCTTTCAGGCACGGCCTGCGGGAGCTCAATGCCGTATATTTTTAAAAGTGGTACCTGCGTGCGGAAATAAAGCTTCATAGGGATCCCAGACGGGACACGTTCACTGGAAACGGGCTCACTGCTGTGTACCTCTTAAATCTGCCGACTCTGATGCCACGAGCAGCTGCGTGAAATCAGCCGGCGGTCACCGGGCTGAAAATAAACAGGGGGGCGGTCTGGTAAGAGACTGGCGCGTCGCCATATCTGTGCTAACCGGCTTTCTCCTGCTATTTGCCTTCAACAAATCACACCAAGTGATGGCCTCAGGCAACAGGAAACAATGGAGGTACGAGGACAAATCCGTGGACTGTGACTTATCTTGTGATTAAAGAATCCGTGTGCTGGTGCATGCTGGGTAAATTAAAAGGTACGAAACGCATTCCTTTCAGTGACTAGGAAAGTTAGGGGGTGGTACGACTGTCCTGGTGACCGTACCTGAAACACACAAAGTCTTTTCAAAGCTGTCAATGTTTCAAATTGTGGTGCTGTTGTCCCACACACAGTGACAACCGCTTGCAACCATAAGTACAAGCGGGCATGAACACACACAGGACAGAAAACCCATCAGGTACCTCCATTTTGATGACTGGGCATCTACTGTGACGCACAGACCAGACACATGGCTTAGATGGGGAAGTAAAATGTAATGGGATGAATACAAGTAATTAATTACATGGGGATACAGGCGTAATGAGTCCATATGTCACTGCCCAACACACAGACTTCAAGAGAGTCCTGAGGAATGAAGCTCTCACATCCAGGGACGTTGAGAAGATCCAACTTGGGCAATGATTTTCCAGCTGTAGGGATGGGTCAAGATTTCTCCAGTGTGACACACCCCACCCCCACCCCCCCCAACTTTTCCTAATCTCTATAAACGGCTACATTTGAAGCCCTGATTTGCAATGATCTAGTGGAAACTGATGTGCAATTATTTTGGAGCCCCTAACATCCAGCAAGCAGGGGTAAAGAGAGAGAGACAGCAGGGCACTTCAGCCAGCCTGCAGACAGTGAGGTGGGGGCCCCTAGCTTCACGTCACAATTGTGGCACCTGTGCAGAGGCGGTGAGACAGAACGGTGACATCGGCGCGGAGTAGTACCGTCAGTGCGGTACGGCGAGGTCATAGCAGCACGAACAGTGACGGACTGACGGGACAGAGAAACGGGAGCCGTTTGTGAACCTGAGCAGAGACTCCCTGTGGGAACAGAACCGCATGATTAAACAGAAAGGACAATGACGACTTTAAGAAACCCAGCCGAACACGTCCGAATCATGAATCCAGCATGGAGTTTGGCTCTTGAGGCCCGAAGTACCATGGGATACAGAGGAACCCCTGGGGGGGGCACGTCAGGCCCCCCTGAACGCAGGGGCGAGCAGCTGGCAGAAGCACCAGATTAAATCGCTGCTCCCTGGCCTGCCCCCCCCCCCCAACCCCATTACCACCACAACCACCACCACCAAAAGTGCCAGGAAAGCGCTGTGCCGACATCAAGTCCACATCGGCCCCCCCAACATGGGGGTGCACCCCCTCAAGCCGCTCTCGGCAGAGGAGGACTGGCCCAGTGCGGCTGATGGGACAGATTCAGTAGTTTCAGCACGACCAGTGAGACGAGCATAGATCCCAACATGGCGGATCCTTCCAACAGCAGGGCAGGGATCACCCGCCGTGGAAATGACATCAGTTCCAGGGAACCCCCGCCGTGCATCCCTCACATTGCTAGAGGCACGGGCTTCGTATGTGCCAAAGACCCCCCCCCAGCCAGCTAAAATATATGGGGGGCATAAAGTCCTCTCTGCCATAGTATAACGATGGGGAGGAGAACATGGTTCTTCTTTCCGATTGGTCTCTGAGGTGAGGAGCACTAGGGGGCGCCGACAAGTGCAGCCATCCGCCGGGGGTGGGCCATGGTCATAGAGGGCGGGGCTTGTGCAGCCCCTCGGTGTCGGGGGTGAGCTGGGGGCTGTGCATGGCCTTGGTGGGCGTCCAGTCCCCTAGGGAGGCCTGGGCGGCCTTGCGGTGAGCCAGCCTGTGCGTGATGGAGAAGCCGGCATTGCCCTCCAGCTGGGACAGGACCACCAGCACCTGCCTGAGGGGGTGGAAGGGAAAAGCACAAGCAATTAACGGGACAAACAGAAACAAGAATGGTTTCATATTACATTAACATATTTTGAGCAGGATTTTTGCCTTAAGGAAAGATGCTGACGGGTAGTAAAACAAACCCCCCAGCAGTGGAAGTGGTTCAACCCGAAAAGAATGAAGGACTATGTTTTTGGATGAGACACTGAGGCAGCTTTGGCTACGTTTCTGCCACTGGTGGGGGAGGCACCACGCAGAACCACTTGTAATTTAGCACCAGGTTAAGAGGAAGTGAGGGGGAGGGCTGACAAAACGGCCTCGTCATGCCGGTAACGGAGAGAGATCCACGCAGCGGCGGGGGGGAGGTGTTTGAATGTCTTTATGAGTTCACAGAGCTGCCCCGCGTTAATGGGTTATTAAAGACAAACAAAAACACTGCGACGACTTAATAAGCACGTCTATGGGGACCAAAAAAATTTGGATTAGACATGACATCAGTGGAGGGCTTTGAACGTCCAGCCCAAGTGTAGTTCTTGCCATCAAGGCCGAGAAGGAGTGAGCATCGCTGCATATGTACAAACCCGGCACGCCTACAAGCCCCGAAGACGCCCCCGCAAGCTGCTCCATCGCTCACATCTAACGACTCGGCGCTGAAACTTAATTCCAGCATTTGTCATGGCAGAAGATCAGTTTCGCCAGCCTGCAGGTCAACAACAATTAACATAAAGCTCAAAAAAGATGCATTTCTCTGGCACTGAAAGCATAACGCAGGGAGTGCTGGTGTGATCCATCTTTTACAAAAGCCATTCGCCCCGCTGTATCGTCGCATGGGCGCTCTGCTCGGATCCGCAGACGGCCCGATGCTTCCCTTTAGACTGCCCTGCGGCTCGGAAACGAGCCAAACTGCTTCCTCTCTTCAGGTTGATTAGGTAACTGTTTTCTGCTGGTAGCGTGATGGTTTAACTGGTTCTCTGCTCCGACATACCAACATCATACACTATCACGTCAACATCACCCCCAGACAAAGAAAAATAAAAACTATATTCCTACATTAAAAACACTGTATTTAAATATGCCCTGCAAAAGCATCTGGCATCTGTCCAGGGTGTGGGAGGAGCTCCAGGTTCACGGTGACCCCATACATCATAAAAAGTTGGTCGATGGAGAGAATAGTATTAAAAGAGTAGATTCTGGGTTAAACAGAATCTCTTGCCAAAACAATTCTTGGTGAATTTCTACTGACGCACCGCAGAGAGCACCCTGACGTACTGCATTTTAGCTGGAGACTCAGCACCGAGGTCATCTAGAGCGATGGCTGCCTGCAGAGGGCCCCCAAGATGGCCGCCGACCCCACCCACCCTGAGTCATGTGACACAGCATAGAGGAGGATACATGCCCGCTCAGCCAAACTCAGTTAGAGCTTCTGCCCCTGAGCTGCAGTAATCGCTAGGCCCACCCACTACTGACGGCACCACCTAAACCCCCCCCCACCATTAACACTGCATGCTGCTGAACTGACTTTTTTTTACACAACCATTACTACTATGAGTCAATACACTACAGCGCAGTACTCTCATACATCATCTGTACACCAAGTGTTTATAGATGAGGTTATTTCCATAAACAATGCAATACTCTCTCTTATATATGCCATAAGTTACAGGCAATTTATTATACAAGATATTACCTGAATATTGAGCGCAATACACACATAAATATGCCAATGTTTATAGCCATTTAACATTTATTTTATATAGATTGGTGTATTATGTATGTATGCATGCATGCATGTATGTATAAATGCATGCATGTATGTATAAATGCATGCATGTTGTTTTACAGAGGCTGCTACTAAACTTGTGACCCACTGGAACAACAACAAAAATCCTTGATCTTTGTACAGAAGTTTCTGAAATGTTATTGGCAACATAAGTTACATTGTTATGGCTCCTTCCTTGGGACTTCTCTACCCTGACTAGACATCATCCCTCCATGAGGGTACAACACCTGGACCTCCCCGAAGGCCGGCATATAGGCGTCCCCTAGACAAGTCAGGCTGGCCGATGTCTGGAGCCGCGGGCGTACCTGTGCAGGGGCGGGACGCTATCAATAGTCTTCAGGCTGCCTCGCGTGGACACCACATTGAAGCTGTCGGTGCAGTCGCAGGAGACGTGGAGGTAGTACTTCGGGTGGCGGTTCTCCACCACCACTATCAGCCCCGCCCAGCCGTGAGTCAGGTAGTAACATGTCATGCCCTCGCGGCCCTGCAGGGGGCGGCAGACAAACGCGTCAGACCCAAGCCAACCTGGTGGCCGCAACAGTTGAAGGGACAGAGGCGATTCGGCCGCTCTTTACCTCATGCCTCTCGCCCTTGTTCTCCGTCAGCAGGATGATGGCATCTGCCAGGGTGGTCGCTGTAGCCTCCACCTGCTCCACCATCACCTGCCGGGAACTGTAGATTGCCAGGACGTGGCCTGGGAAATCCTGATTTGGGCGCCCACTGCTGGTGGGACTAGATACTGCAGACAGAATGGACAAATCAGACACCAACAGGCACATCGACGACTGTAATGTCTACGGGTCTCCACCCTCAACCCGATCAGAAGGGCCGCTGAGGGTGCGTGCGCTCACCGGGCGTGACAGCGCCTCCGGACACGTTCAGCTGCCAGTGGTTGAAGGCACAGCAGACCACGGCGTATTCTCCAGGCTCCAGCATCACGTCGCAGCCCACGAACTTCTTGACGGCACGCTTGCTGTGCGACAGCAGGCGGCCCAGGGTCAGCTTGTTCCCGCTGCCGAAGGAGGCTCGGAAAACCATGATGCACAGGTCCAGCAGGTGGCTGTCCACCGTGTCCGAGCGCCTGAGGGGGACAGACGGGCAACCGTGCAGTCAGCAGAAGACCCAGCTGGCCATGGCTGAGACAGAACTAAAAACGGCCAGCTGCGCAGACGAGACTGAGCTTCCTGTTACTATCCCAATGGATGCAATTATCTTTAACTGTACTTCTGTTTTCGCACGTTAGTTATCGCCTGTATTACATTTAAAGAACCATTTATGTAGTAAATGCAAGTGAAATGTTACTTAGAGACTGTCCGCCTCGCCAAGAAGTAAAATTATCAATAATCGCGACGTTAACAACAAGAAAATGGTCCGAGAGATCCCAGAGTTACCTGCTGCCCTCCTGGAAGAGGGCGAACTCCAGCGCCGTCCGCTCCAGCACCGTCAAGGCCGTCACGGTGACGGGTCCGCTGGCCCGGCTCGGGAAGCAGCCCTGCAGCCGCACCTCCTGCCAGTCCGAGTGGATCTTGCAGATGTCCACCGAGTCGAAGTACCTGTGCGGCGGCGGGGGGGAACACCAGCTGAGCGCGTGGAACCGCGAGTCCTTCAGGCTTGCCTCGGGAGGCTGAGCCAGATCGGCGCCCAAAAATAGCCCGACTGCGAGGCGGTGGGGAAGGAAATGTATTCAAAGGAGTGTTTACGGGGGAATGCACGGTCCCAAAACAGAGGAATAATGAGGTACCAGTAAACCAGGACAAACACAAAACACTAAAATACTTCCAATTATTTTCCGTTAGGAGGAATTAGCCCCCCCTCCGCAAATAACATCCCCGTTCCAAGCACATCTCCACCACACTTCATTTCCCTTTCATCACGATGGAAAAAAATGACATCAGCTCCTGTGGGGATCAGACCCGAGCTCGTCCGGTGCCCTGCGCAGCCTCGTGCTCAAACACCAGCATCTAAAGAGTCCTGGAGTATTAGCGATTCCTGCAGCGTGGCACATCGCTGCAGATTATGCAGATCACACTGAGCTTCAGAGCCTTAGTGATGAACTCAGCTCACCAAAGGGCAGGATCTCACCACCAAGAGTACAAAAATATTTCCTTATGGTTTGCAAAATAAATCCGTCCCTGAGGTCGCACTTCCGGAATGCGAGTATCCACGGGCTTGGTGTGTCCCGATTCACCCCGAAACCGCACGAGCCGCATCCTGGTCCTCAACGAGTGTCTCCTGAGTCACGCAGTAATCCGACAGCTTCACTGCGGCTCTGCCAGTGACAGTGTGGCTGCCCGCAGAAGCGAAGGAGTGATGCTACCTGACAAGGCAACGTGAGCATAGAGCACGGGGCTAAATGACCGGAGAATTCATTAGGTGTCACCGACGGCACGTTACAGAAATTACGCGTTAATGGCGACCTCTGAGCCGTGGGGTCGGGGATTCGGGCCTTACTGCCGGGATGCACTGTGACAAACGTTGTGCGACATTAATTAAACAAATGGGACGAGCCTCCTCGGGTCAGAATCCGTCGGCAGAGAGCATGGCCCCGAATGCTCCGAAAACCAGAGCCCTCATTAGGGAGCCACACCACCCTCCCCAGAAAGCTCCTTCCAGTGGAATGCTGGCTATTAATGCGATTTTCTTTCAGTTCTGTGTGATGCATCTGTTATACCGTGAAATAATGAAACGCTGTGAAATAACGAGGTCGTTCACGGAGAAGCGAGACGGCCTCTACCGCACAGGAATGGAGGGGGGGGGGGGGGTTGAACACTGGCATCTGCAGCTTGGCCATCTGGGGGCATTCATCCCCCCCTCCCACCACCCGGAAAAACGTGGAGCGTGTCTGAAGATCTGGGTTGGTGTCGAGAGCCATGTGAGGTCAGAAACCACACTGAAGGGTGAGAAAATAAACGTTTCAATCACTGAAACATAAGCTGAGCTTCAAGCTGCAGCGAGGACACATACGGACTCCGGTCTGAACACTACCGACGGACCGAACGGCGGGCAGGAAGAGAGGGCCGCTTTCTGCAGAAGTGTTTTCGTCGGGGACCCACAGACGGTCCACGTTTTTGCTCCCTCCCAGGTCCCGGTAGGAGCTAAAACGTGAAATGTCTGCAGGTCCCCGAGGACCAGATTGGGAAACACTTGACTACAGGATCACTTCTCCAGACTGTCGGCATAATAACTCCATTAAAAAGTCCTGAAGGACCACGGGCAGGAGTCGTCGATACCTCGCCACATCGTTTTGCTTTTGGCTGGCGGCCTGCGCCCGCGGAGCAACCTCCCAAGGGGCCGGTCACTGGGCCTAATACCCCGCGCTCCTTTGATGGATGGCGGACAGGCCTTTTCCGCAGCCTGCCTGCAGCCGCCGGCGTTATGAGGGTGATGAGTTACAGCTGACGGGCTCCCCCCTCCAGACCAGAGAGTGTGACGACCTCCAAGACATGGCTGCAGTCTGCATTCGGAGACGTCTCTGCTCTAAGGCCTTTGAGCCGACGGTGATAGTGCTTCGAGTCAGAACGGCATTAAAAAACAGGACCCGTTTCCTTTTGTGTCTCTCAGAAGGTCCACGGCGCCCCTCCTGATCCCAGCTGTATACTGTTTGTTTCGATAATAATATCAATGCTTCAAAAAAGCATAACAGGGAATATAACAGCTACTCCCGTACGATTTCTCGTTTGCCGCATGCGTTTTTCTTTTTCCTTTCTCGTGTGTATGAAGAGAGGAGGGAATGAGCTGCACGAAGTGTGTGACACTAGGGGGCAGTATAAGATGACATTCAAAGGTCATGAGAAGGGGGAAAAAAACACTTAAAATAAATGTGCTGATGTAACTGAATTCTCAGTACAAAACATGACCTTGGCCAATAGGAAAAAGCAAAACTCAGGAGGAATGTCACTTCATCACTTTTACACAGTCGCCGGTCACATCGGGTCGTACATTCTTAGAGCGCTTAGCCCGCCTTCAATACGTCTGCCTGTGTCCACATTCCTGGCACTTCTGCCCCCCCACTCACTTGATGAAGTCCCCATACTCCATCCAGAAGACGCCCTCGCTGCTCCCGTGCGCCATCAGCTCGTGCCGCAGGTGCTGTGGCCAGTCCGGCCACTCGTCCGACCAGTTCCCGTTCCAGGAGAAGCGGCCCCAGGGGTTGCGGAGTCGTAGCAGCCTGGGGTGGGAATTGGAAGGGAACCAATCAACTCGCTACACGACAGCTGGTCTAGATGTTGGTTATGAACCAATCAGCATGCACAGTTCACAAAGCATCCTATGGAACGCCTGTGGACTCACTTGTATCCCTGCACATCCCGAACGTCCAGGACGGAGTAGGCGTGGCGAGGACGCAGACCCAGGGACTCGTACACCATGTCGTCCACCTTCATGTTGCCCCCTCCGCAAGAAGCCCCCATCAGGAACCTGCCAGAAATGCACCGGGGGGGGACACAGTCACGGCCACGAGGCGCTAACGCTTGCAAGGAAAAGGAAACAAAACGAAGAAGCAGAAATATACGGAAGAGCGAGGAGGCATCCATCCATGCCAGCTGTGCCCCCTGCTGGCACAGGAAGCCCCATCGCGGTGAGCCGCCTTACTCAGAGCTAAAATAAGACAAATATCCATGTTCATTTTCTTCTACTGGAAACTGTACATAAGGTAACTGGAATCCCATCCAGGGTGTAACCCCAGCTTGGGATAGGTTTTAGACCAGCAATGACCCTGATCAGGATAAGCCGTTAGAAGATGGATGGATGGATGGATGGATGAACACGCAAGGCAGTAGAAAGAGGGGTTGAAGGTCAGAACATGAGATACTCGTGCAACTGTGGCTGCAGGTGACGATGATGATGGTGGCGGCACTACAGCGCCCCACGGCCGACAGTAACGGAGATGTGAGTCTCCGAGCTAACAGCACACTGTCGCTGCCTTTTTTGAGTGTGGAGCTCAGGAGAAACAGGCCCCGCTGTCCTCCGTGCTTCATCAGCTGTGGATCGACATCTTCATCTTGCAGCCTCTGCCAGAGCTGAGGCCAGTCACACTCTCTCGGAGTGCCGAGAGCCGTCCAAGGCGTTCAGCTCGGTGCAATTTCACAGCAGTGGCGCACGCCAGCCAATGTGGCTAAATGCTCGTTTCTAAAGTCCGCTAACTCCTGCGAAATCTCAACAAGGAGTGCGGGTCCGCTGGAAAACAGCCGGCGGGTCGCAGGATGCTGGGAACATCGTGCTGACGGGCTGCTCAGAAATCACTCCTGCATTCAATGACAGGTTCATCTGGACCCGACAGATGGAAACAAACAGGCCGATGAAGGAATGGGCAGGGCAATCGGTACGTGATGGGAGCGGGGGGGGTGACATCATTTGCCAGCAAGATCCAGCTAGAAGGGCAGCTACAGTACAGTGTGCGTAAACGGCCGGCTGAAGATCCATCAAGGAAAACCTTCAGCCTCGGCAGGATTATCCATAACTGGGTACTGGGTCATCATTGGAAGATTCTCCTGAGAGAAGAAAAACTGAATAAAACAAAATAAAATAATAACGCATGAATAAAACATGCTGATGGTGAATCTGGGCCGTTTTTTCTGAAGCACAGAGCAGAAAGAGGCCAGCAAGGCAAGCACCCCCCCCCCCCCCCCCCCCCCCCCCCCCCCGATCTCGCTGTGGGGGGGGGGGGGGGGGGGGGGGGGGGGTCTGCTGCACCCCTGAGCAAGGCTGTCGGCCCAAATCGCCACAGCAACCCTGAGAGGCTGAAACGAGGAGGAGTCTTCATTGGAACAACTTGCGTTGGGGATAAGAACGACTCCAGGAGCTGAGCCAGCAAGCTCGCATCATCGGCGGGGTTATTACAGCTAGCGGGATTCAGCTATTGCGCTTAAAATTCCAGCATTTTATTAGTTAACCATAAAACACTGCAAAAAGTACCATGTTCCTCTCCATGGTGCGTTCAGTAGGGGAGGGTTGCGTTATGGGGCAACTAAATCCGAGATCTCAGTAAAGGCTGACCACAATCTTCCATAGTCTGGCATACTCTGTCCTGTCACCCTCCATCCATCCATCCATCGTAAGCCAGGAAACTTCCCATCCAGTATGCACAAAGCATGAGGCAGGGTCGCCCTACACTGCGGTCCCACCATCGCAGATCTGGAACTCCATTCTCACACAGTGAATGAATGAGTCTTCCCTCTGGGTCTCCTTAACAGAGGAGTAAGGCAAGGCCAGATCTGTCAGTCTTTACGCGGAACAAAGACATTCCCAGGTGGTTCGGCACGGTCCGTTAAGATGGTTCATTCAGATCAGCTCCTTCTGTAAGGGACGGCTCTGTTCTCGCTGCCTCAGAGACATGCATCTTATTGTGTGTGTTTTTATCTAGCTCTTATTATCAATGGCAAGGCTTAGCAGTTTGAAAGGGCTGACACTGGGGAACGAGTCTGGGGTATCGATACGTGCCACGCCATCTTCCATTGTGAGCCCCCTCCCTCAGCACTCTGAATCACTCTGCCGGAGCTCGGTAATGACTTTCCAGCCAGAGAGTGGAATCGAGCGGCCTTTTCCAATGAGGCGAATTACATTCACACTTAAATGGTCAGCCGTGTTAATTCCGCTGACATCCTGACAAAGGAACTAAGAAATTAGTAGAATACAAATTGGAACTGAAGAGATTTCTAAATATTCAGCAACTTATTAGAATAATCAACGAGGAGCGCAGAGTCACTTTCCACGTAGGTCCGTCTACATAAATGACACAGTGACTGAGCTAGTGCTGACTGTTCATGGCTTTAATTAACAAAAATTACGGTAAGAGGCGGGAATGGCGCCCCCCATAGGTCTCAGGGCACGGAGTGCAGGTCCTCCGCACTGATCCCTCGAATAGCGGGCCGCACTTAAGAGGCCAAGTGAGCCAGAGTACTGGGGGAGAGTGTGGCTGGATAGACCCGGGTCTCTTGAATCACCTCTTAAGGCGTTCGGACTGCTGAGGCTCTGGGGGGGAAGTGGCAGGTGACACTGGGCCCCCATCCCTCACTATCGACTTTACGGTGCATTTGCATTTACAGTAGCATTCACAGCACCACCTGCACCCTGTAATCCTTCAGTGAGCGTCCTGCTGATGCGAGGAGGATAGCAGGGAACCCACTGGGCAACGAATCCCCTGACATGGCACTGCGTGCCGCTTAGGGACGCCTCCCGCCAAAGCCCCTCCCCCGGTGGCTCACCCCGCCTCTTTGGAGCTCAGCATCTTGGCCCAGATGAGGTCGGTGTCGATGGGCTCCTCGCGGGGGTTGGTGGAGCTGACCTGCAGCATGAGTGAATCGCAGGGGGCACCGGTGAGTGTGGCCAGGCCCTCGATGGCGCGGCCCGCCTGAAGAGCGAAGTAGGAGCCGTGCAGCTTGGCCAGGGCCTTCTCGATCAGGGCCACCCACAGCTGCTTCCGCTGGGCCTGCATTACAAGGAGTAAGTCACATGACAGAACCACAGGGGGCACGTCACATGACACAGCCCCAGGGGGCATATCACATGACACATGCGACAAACATGCTTTACCAGGAGAAAAGCCCACTATAGAGAAAGTAAAAGGAAATAATAGAATTACAGCACTAATATTTTACAGATAAAACACATTCAGTCCATTTAAGCAGTGGCTGTAAAACATTTGGCACTGGGGGAAAATTAGCCAAATGAAACTGCTACTTCTGTGGTCATTTGCATGGTGATACAGTGCAGCAGTCACTCATTTATTTATTAGACAAGAGCATAGATAAGTCAACACACGTCCAAGGCGGGCAGACTGATCACTGCCATTCACCGGAGGCCCTTTTCCACTTCAGCCGATAAGTCACCGTCAGGCTCGTAGTGCCGGGGCCGCGGTGCCTCCCGGCCGGGGAGCGTCTTCTCGACTTATCGCTCAGTTAAGTTATCGATAACGCTAATGCGGCCTAAGCCAGACCGTGGGGTGGGGGGGGGGGCAGCCCCGGCAAGCAGCAGCCGATTTATCACTCACAGGCTCAGCGCGCTACGCCACCCCCTGCTCACATTAATCCACATTGGCGGGGGGCATTATTTCCTGGTGGGTTCAGCAAACAGTGGACAGTGTGATACACACACCCCCCCCCCCCTCCACTGGATGCAGGCCCACTCGCCTGTCTGCCGCAGGACAGGCCCCCGTCCTGCTCTCAGGACGCGGCTCCCACAAGCCACGCCCCTTTTCCTGCTGGGACAGCGGCTGCACAGGAAATAGATACCCTGGCCTCCTCAGTGCCGGACACAGATCGGCATGTTAATGCTGGGTCAGAGGATATGGGTCACATGACACATCATGTGACTAGCTAGTTTTAAAAAAGGTGCCACCCAGCCTTAAATTACCTTAAACATATGCACTAGACTGCAGTTATTTTCTGGGTTTGTTATAATGGCTGATTACATTAACAAGTTGGGTAACAATGTTATCCTATGAGGAAAATCGATATCCTGAGTCAGTATGTGCTTGGCCTTAAAGAAATTCATAACTCGTTCTCTATTTACTTGAGCATTTCCATTATTTATTTAGTTCGTAGTTTGTACTGTAATATGTCTGTGTCATGTTTTTATTGGGTAATAATTAAATAAAACCAAATGTTCACATTCACAAAAGTTTAATCTTGCTTTTATTGTATTTTCAGGCACTTGAGTAGTTTATTAGACCAAAAAATGACTGCAGAGGGCAAGTGCGATTATACTCGCAAATAACTTAAGTGCTTCGCCATGGCAACAGCACGACGCAATTTTGACGACGTACTGCGAGTGGCTCTGAGCAGGAAGTGCAGGCTGCGTGGGCGGCTGTCCGGGGTCAGGGCTCCCGGGAAACGAGTCACGCCCCAGCAGCTGTCCTAAGCCCCCCCCGGAAAGAGACACGCTCACAGTTTGCCATTTAAAGGCCCGGAAACATCTAAAAGGTATCGGGCTTGTGAATCAAGAGAAGAGCATTGTACTGGTACCGCTGTCTAAAGGTCAAAGTAAACTGGGCACGTGAGAGCTGTGAACACACTGCCAGCCGGTTCGGCTTGGACCCGGTTTATATAGCGTCCCTCACAGCTGCAGAGCGCTTAACAGGGAGCTGATTACAACAGAGGGACGTCAGCAGTGGTCAGGCATACAAGGAGAAGAGGGGATGGGAGGGGGGGATGTTCATAAACCCCCCCCATGGAGTTAAATTACCAACGGGGGGCAGGTCGGGGTGTAAAAGGAAACCGGCTCAGGACGGAAATCCGCTCGAAGTGTCTAGGATATGACTGCAGATTCAAAAAGCCACAATCCAGCTCAAACTCAGAAGGAAATCTGCCAAAACCCAAAAAAGCCATGAAGGATCGATATGGCTGCCAAGCCACCACAAAGGCAGAGGCAGCATTTTCAGATCAGCTTCAGTTACCTGAGACTCTGGGCCTATGCAGGAAGAATTTAATACAGTGACTTAATTAAAAAGGAAATAAATCTTAAAATATATTTTTGTTTTTAAAGTAGGACAATTGAGAACAGGCTAGATTATTCTAAATTGTATCCAGAGTTGAATCGCCTGTTGAATCATGTGCAACTGTATCATTTCTGCATCGTATAATAGAGACGGAGACCACTAAAACGGGGTCCTATCTGGCCTCGCGTTATGCCCTCCCCCCATAAGGGGGCGCTGTTCCTTACCTGGGAGAAGAGCAGGTAGCCATACTCGTCACAGGGCAGCATGTCGTCCACCAGCACGGTGATCCAGGTGCCATCCTTGCAGAGCCGCACCTGGTAGGCGCCCTCCGGGCAGATGCCCCGCGTGATCATCACGCGCTCCACCAGCTCGGGCCGCTCCGCCAGGACGGCCAGGGCACTCAGGAACCTGCCAGAAGGGCGGCACAGCAGTCATATGGCACGTGAAGGACCAGATGCGTCTGCAATGAGTAAGGAGGCTTGAGCCGGCAGACGTGATGGTGGGGAGATAACCTGGAACGCCCCAGTCCCCTCCCCACCCAAGGTAGCTGCTGATCAGACACCTCAGGGGCCTGGAAGGACAAAACTCCCTCCCCCGTCTCCGGGGGGCGGACAGGCGCAGGGCCATCTCCCAGGGGCCACAGCACAGTGAGCATAACAGTTTAGGACAGGGATGCTAGCCGATGGGGAGCAGTGTGATTCGATGGGGGCTGACGTGGCACTAGGAATGACAGTGACCTGGGGGGAGCCAGGGGGAGCGGGAGGGTCCGGCTTGCTGTGTGTCACGGCACTGCAGGGGCTTATTTTCAGGAGTATGTGGGAGGAAATGCAATACAAAATCAAGACTGTAGAGGGCGCCAAGGAGCAGTTCCCCTAGCTTCCACTCCAGGAAGGGGGGAGGGCAAAGATACACCTGCTCATCTAACAGTACTTTTTATAGCACACCTCAGGCAGCCAAACATGTCCGCCAATCAAAAACAACCAGGTCATACTGCTTCTATATTATTATGGAAACTAGCATTTCAGCCAGTCGCTCAGTGCAACAGGGTGGTTTTTTTTTTATAATAAAAAAAAAAAAAAAAGGCAGAGAAACTTTGGCTTACAGAGACAAATCGGATGGAGAATCAAGAAAAGCAAAGAGCTTTCTGGTAGATCAGCACCTGACATCTATGAACAGCGATAATCTGGGCAGATCTGCTAGTCTCTCACTGGGGAGCAGCACAGAATACAGCCTTCAGGGGCAAGAGGCTGCAAAAGTTTATGAAAGGAAGAAGCGAAATAAAAACACTTATTCTTAGAAATGTAAAAATATACAAATTGGAATAATGGAGTTTTTAAAATAAATCCAGAGAAGAAAAAAGCTCAAAATAGGAACTTAATAGAATTATGAACAAATTATAAAAATGTTAAAAAGTGGCCAGGAAGGATGTTTGTAATCTGTACAGGGCCACAGATAACAGGGGAGGCGTTCGACCATGAAATGGGCAGCGGTGGGCAATCAGACGCGGGCAGCATGGAGCAGTGAAGCCGTAGCCCGGCCCGACCGGGTGACGGGACATCGGATCAGAGTGCGGAGGGCGGACACTCGCAGCAACATAAATCAAACCAGTCACAACCGGTTTCTTCCTGTGTTAGAGGTGCCTCCCAAAAAAAATTAAAAAAATCCAATGTGGACCCTTAAACTTCAAACGACAGAATGTGACAGAAACGCCGAATCGGGCCTTTGTGCAGACAGTCCAACCTGCGGATGATAAGCACCAGCGCAGGGGGACGCTGAAAATGCATCGGAGCTGATTCATTGCAGGGACGCACCGTGCTGGCTAGCAGTTAATGTATAGCGCTGACCTCACTGATTCTTGGGGGTGGGAGGGGGATGACACACACGGTTTCCATGGTAACATAGGAAGGTATTCTCACTAACAGGAAGTGATTATGTCATGAAGGTGGATAGTGAGCTGACCAATTATGTCATGTCACAGGATCTTTGAATGATTTATTTTTTTCGTACTTGGCCTTTAACAGATTGACAGGTGATGAATTGGCTCTGACTGAACAAAAACCTTTACCTGAACACACTTAGACAACGACAACGAAAACAAAGGCCGTTTTACGTCAGGTGGTGCCATTGGAGTGTGTGTAGGCACACACACACACACACACACACACACACACACACACAACAGCCCCTGTGTTCATACCATTGTGACTATTCATTTCTATGGGCATAACCCTAATCCTAACTAGGACAACCCCAACCCCGCCCGAACCTTAACCGTAAGTAACCAACAAAACACTTTCGGCTACTTTCGTTTTTTCATTGCATTCACAGATTTTTATGAAATTGAGGTTATCCTTGAGGGGATCAGAAAAATGTCTGTAAAGGGTAAAAAGTTGCAGGTTATGGTCACAATGAGCAAACGCGCAGGCATGTACGCAGGCACACAGCCAGGCCAGCCCTGCCCCCAACTCACCAGCAGTTTCCCAGCAGTCCTTGCAGGATGTCAGAGGGCCGGGGGGTACGAAAGACGGACCACTTGACGCCGCGGTCCTTGAAGTTGTTGCAGTTGATCTCGTGTGGGCGGAGCCACTTCTTAACCCGCTGCTGCACGCTGTCGCCTTCCGGAAAGCCCACGGAGCGCGGGCCGGGCGGGAAGCTGTCGTCCACGAAGTTCACCGCGTTCTGCAGGGCACAGGAAACGCCAGCGCTTAGCGGTCAGCTCCTGCCATGTTGCCCCCGCGTCACCATCTATCCTTACGTATGTTCATAAGGAAAGAAGCGACTGGGGAAAAACAGCAGCGTCGTATCAGTTTGTAAGAGGCTGACAAATACTCCCAGTGTATCTGCGTAGTAGCGGACAGGTTCATTAAAGTGGCCCTCAGGACTGACGGGACTTCGGCAGGATGGTTCAGCTGTCAAATGGACTGACAGCACCTGGGCCCTGTCAGCGCCACGGTCCTGATACACGTATAAGAGGCATGTGGATATAAACAAGACAGCCCCCCCACTTGGAATACTGGGAGGTGGTCAGCTCTGGCCAGAGAAGAACAGTATTCTTTGCTCTTAAACTACTTGAACAATTCATTTTAAGCTGTTAATTTAACTCCTTTCATGAAAATCCTTTTCTGGACATACGGGCTCCAATGCAGATGCGTAATTCTTACCCCGGTGGGGTGGGGTCAGAACAGTGGGATGTGTATTTACTGCTAGACCACATCCCCACGGAGAGAGCAAGGGCCACACCTCAGAGGACGGGGTGTTTCACAGGGGCTGGGGGCGCCACTATCGATCTTCCGACAGGGAGGGAAAAAAAATTAACTGTCTGACTGGGTACAATTACTAGATGAATTTAACAAAGGAAATAAATCCACTGATGCCAATACTGCTTAAAGCCTGCTTTTGGGAGAAAGGGTTTAACGTCTCCTTGGGGCGAAGGAACTGAGACGCATCGACATACATGGGCCAGACAGAGGAACATGGAGAGAAGAGATGGAATCACAGCACAGTGACACCCACCATTTGTACAGTGTGGAAAAAAAGGGGGTGGGTGGGTCAAGTGAGGCCACATACTCTTATTCTAGCCGGGAGTCACACTGGACGTCTCGTGGACGGTCTAAAAGCAGACCCTTAGTGGCCTTAAAGTCTAGTGCTGATATGCTGATGGGGCCCTAATTTCTAAGTAATGGCGTCTTTTGCTACGGCCGCCGCAAGCTTCCCATTTCTCCAGAAGAGGGGCTGCTGTCACCTTACCAGCGGGTGATAAATAGCTCCCAGCTTCCCGGCACCCGGATAAAGCAGGAATCAGTGGAGCAGCTCATTTTCCGAGCGCTCGGACCCTGCAAGACTACAGAGACGGCGAGAGGCCGTTTGAAGTGCAATGAAAAAGTGGAATAACCCAGAAAGGGGAATCTTCAAAGGGTCCCGATTATGGATTCGCTGAACCGACGGAGGAAATCCCATTGCACACACCGGCTGGGTGTAATTGGCAGGGCGCCGCAAGAGTGAGATCTGGAGAGAGAGGGAGAAAGACGGAGAGAGAAGGGAGGAGAGACAGAGGGAGAGAAAGGTAGAGAGGGGGGAGAAGGAAGGAGAGAAAAAAAGAAGAGACAGGGAGAAAAAGGAGAGAGAAAAAGAGGAAGTGGAAAAAGGAGGAACAGGAAGGAAAGAAGGAGAGAGAGGATAAAGAGGGAAGAGAGGAGGAGAGAGAAAGGGGGTCGGAGGGAGAAGGAAGCAGAGAGAGAGAGAAAGGTAGAAGGGGAGAAAAAGAGAAAGGAGAGAGAGAAAGAGGGAGAGAAAGAGGGAGGGAAAGAATGACAAAACAGAAGGAGCATGAAAGGAGAGACAAAGAGAATAGACAGATAAAGAGGGAAGAGAGAGAAAGAGAGGGAGGGATAGAGGGGTGCAGGAGCACCAGGCGGGAGACTGACTGCGACTGGCACCAGAGGCCTGAGGGGACGGAGCCGCTGCAGCCGGGAAAGGTGGCTCAGCACCGCACGCCAACGAGAGGAGCAGCACCAGAACACAGGACGGCATGCTGTAAACCAGTCCGCTGCCTCTGACCCAAATGTCCATGTCATTCCCTGCCAGGATCAGCCAGTCCGAGGGCTGATCAGGCTGATCAGGCTGATCAGGTGGCCTGTAGCCAACGCCTCCCCTCATGAGTGCCCTGTCCCGCTCCTCACATAATGAGTGCCCCTCTCTCACTTCACAGACACGCCAGGGGGCAGTAGGAGGCCATGGGGGGGGGGGATGCAGGGCTATCACCTACAGTCCTCCCCCAGGCCTGTCCATCAGGCCTTAATTAAAAAGCAGTAATTGGATTTCTCTTCAGTAACAGTGTATAATTAATTTTCCCACATTCACGCTGATGCTGGCGAAAGAGAATGTGCCGTTTTCTCAAAAGGGCCACCGTCATTATCGCCAAAAAATCAAAAGCTTCATCAGACGTTAAGGGGGACAAAAAATAAAACATCTGAAACTGAGAATACATTACGTCGCTCGCCCCTGCCAACGGCTGATCTTCTGAGAGTTTCTGTAATCTGATTAGCCAAGTGAGACTCAAGATCACAAGCACAGCGAGATCCAATCCAATCCCCTGATTTACCTACGCTAGAGGAAGCCACACTGCAATCGTTCCTCAGCTAATCCCCAGATGAAAAAAAGAGCAATTAAAAATTATGAAATACAAGGCAGACGTGAAGACGGCATGGCGTCTCCGTCCAGCCCGCGGTTTCCCCCCGGAAACTGCTGGATCGATCTGCGGCCTGCCCCACCCCCCTGGCGTGAGTAAGCAGCACAGGAAGGGATCGACCCGGCCGGGCCCCCACCCTCAGGAACATGCAGCAGAGTCTGCTGGCCAGGTGTGTGTGTGTTGGGGGGGTGCAGACTGCTCTAATCAGTGATTATTTTGGGATAGCAGATGCCAGTCAGCAATACATCGGAGATGCAGGTCTAGCCCACTGATGCTTCAAAAATAAACTCATCAACAGACCCAGGGGCGTGTATGGGCAGCAAGGACGGCCCCTCAAGGGGGCGGAGCCACACTGACGCCAAAACCCACCTACTTCCTTCCAAGAGGATCGGTAACGATTCATCTACCCGTACTGATCCATACATACAGAATTCCTTAACATACATATATATAAATAAGCACTATTGATTTTAACCTGCCTATATTGTGGACTGTTATATTTTGTAAGATAAACAGTTTGCCGTGAACGTATATTCAGCCATGCAGGTGATTAATTGACACTCTATTAATATACATCTGTTTCATTTATTACTAATGACAAGGTTAATGGGAGTTACGAGTGGTGATGCTGTTAGCAGACTAACACACACACACACACACACACACACACGCACACACAGCAGGTCTACAGCCGCATTCAGGCAGGAGGCTCATACTAACCCGATCGGACCCCATCCAGCCCAATCGCATCACCATGATAGTGTCCCTGCACTAACAGTGAGTAACACCATTGGCCCAGTGTATAGGAACACAACACAACAAGCTGCCCACAGATATGAATGACAGCAGGATTTCAAGGCCGCAGCCTGCACACCCAGAACTTTACACGGGCTGCCGATGAATACATTCCACGTCATGACTTGAACCTTCTAAGAACGTTTTCAAACGATCATCTGAAGCCACAGGTGAAGGTACAGCAGGGGGTGTTGGTGCCCTAAGATCGCTGACTGGGTGTAGACGGGGACCCCCTTCCTGCTGCTAATGGACTCACCCATTTCCTGCTATCATCGTCTGCTGCGGCGTCGTCAACAAAAGACGAGCTTAATTAAATTATTTATTTACTAAGAGACAAAAACCCTTCACGTTAAAAGGCATGGCGCCCCCCTGCTAGCCAGACATTTAATTGATGCCCAGTGGGGGGAGTGTATCTGACAGACAATTTTAGCGCTATGATTCACATCTGCTGTGTTGATGAGCTCTAGCGCTCAGCCTCGTTAGTTACCGTGGCGATGTAATACGGGCCCCATGAAGGAGACCGTAAGCTTTAGCCATATTGGCTAACTGTTACACTGCTTATCCATAACACTTAATTATATGGGATCTCCAAACAAATGTAGTACAATACAAAGGACAACCTGAGCAAACACAACAAACAGTTTTAAATGACCATTTCATTCATTGAGGGAGAATAATTCACCAACACCTGTGTCACACATGTGACAAAGTTTAATACTTGGTTGTGCCACCTTCAGCACCAACAACTGCAAACACTTGCAGTAAGATCAGTCTTTGGTATCGCTGTGGAGAAATCTTGCCACAGTCTTCTCTACAGAATTGTTTTAATTCAACCACTTTGGGGGGGTCAACTACAAACTGCCCATTTAAGGTCCTGCCACAACATCTCACTGGAGTTCAAGTCATGACGTCGACTAGGCAACTCCAAAACCTTAATTGTTTTGTTTTTCCACCCGTTAAGAGGTGGACTTGCTCTTGTGCTTTGGATCGATGTCCTGCAGCATAACTCAATTGCACATGAGCATCAGATCATGGACTGATGACCGGACATTCTCCTTCGGTACCCTCTGGCACACAGCCGGATTCATGCACGCGTCTCTCAATTATGGCATCTCCCAGGCCCTGAAACAGTAAAGTATCCCCCACCATCACAGTGCCTCCACCGTGTCTGACTGGGAACGATGTTCCTTGTGTGCTAAGCTGTGTCTGGACCCATGTCTTCCTAAAAGCTCCACTTCTGACATC